GTCAGCGCACCGAAGCAGTCGCCGTCCTTCGTGCACTCCCCGCACACCGCAACCGTCGTCACCTTGTCGATGCCGTTGTGCCCCATTTCAGCCGCCGTCAGCACCTTCCCCGCGACCGTCAGGCACCCCGCGGCGAACTTGTAGCCGGCGTCAGCGTGCGTCAGCAGGGACCCCGACACCCCCGTGGAGCCCATCTTGCAGCCCGTCAGCGTCACCGCACTGCTGTTGTCGACGCTGATAGAAGTGTAGTAGGAGTAGTAGTAATAGTAGTAGAACATTGCCCCCTCCCCCACGTCGTTGTCGCGCCAATCCAACCAGCTCGACTGCCGGACGGTCCACGAGTCGAGTGAATATATGGCGTAGGACACGGGGCCGCGGTTCCCCACCACGCGCAGGACGCTGTGGTCCGACACGCTATTACCGTAGAGCTGGGAGAGGAGGCTCATCCCGGCGGTCATTGTGTTGTTGAGCAGCGCCAAAACGGAGTGATCGCTGAGACTCAGCCTATACACGTAGAGGAGGTGCGTGTATTCCTCGAAGCTGCAGTACCGCACGTACAGGGAGCTGCCGCCCACCAGCTTCAGGTACCCGGACGACCGCACACCAAGCCTGCTCGAAATACCCGGACGCACGCGCCGTTACGTTGCTGACCAACAGCGAAGAGGCCTTCAACACGACACTCTCCAGCAGCACCACGCTGTACGAGCTGCCCCCAACGCCCGGCAAAGAGACCGAGGAGGTCTGCACCGCGTCAACCTCCGTGACTGCGATGTCGCAGCGCTGCGGGAGGGCACGCGAGAAAGCCACGACGGAGGACTTCATCACCGTCTGGCTCACGCGGATCAGGACGCCAGCGGACTCGGCCGCCTCACCGCCCCCAACGAACTGCAGCGCGGCCCCGCCCAGGAACGTGCACCCAGAGAACGTGATGTTGATGGGGAGATGCAGCGGCATCTGGGGGAGTAAAAACGTCAGCGCAGCGCCCGCGCCACTGAACGTCACACCCACGTAGCAGTGGTGCGTCTTCCACATGTCCAGCGTGAGGCTCGTCAGCGTCTGGCCCTCCACGCAGCTCGTGTTGCCGTCGACGGCTCTCTCCGGCAAGGGCGGCGCAGCGACGTCGGGCACCTCGAATGGAAGGCACGACGCGCCATGCCACCCGGCCTTGCAGCCACACGAGCACGAGCTGCTGTCCACCGACTCCGTCCCGGGCATGTAGCACGCCGCCTCGCCGTTGCACGTGCCGCAGCTGAACCGCACCACCTCCTCCGGAAACACGCCGTCGTACGACGCCTCCTCATCGCCCTGCAGGTTGCACCCCACCACAAACTGCGCGGGTGAACTCACGTCCACGCCCAATGAAGCAGCCTCCGCAAACGGCTTACTTGCGTCCGCCTGGCGGTTGCGTGCGAACGCCACAGTGGTGCCGCTGCCCGACAGCCTAAAGCCAGGCCCGGAGCCTGGCAAACGTAATACCGCGGCTGCCCTCACGTTGTTGTCCTCCACACGCAGCTGCCCACCACCCTGGAGGACAATGTCATCGAACAAATAAAATAGCGACGAATCAGAATCGCCGGCGTTGCCAACGAAGGCGCAGTCCGCGACCCTCAGCAGCCCCGCAGAGCTCACGGTAAGCCCCGAGTATACATATATGCCCCGAGCCGCGCTTATCGTGTTGTTCTCCACGTCGAAGTGGCCGCCGTTCTTCACATCAAAAGAATCCGCATACACGGCGGAAGCTGCACTTGCGCCCTTGTCTCTTGCCCTCAGCGTGTTTCCCTTCACAATGAGCCCGCTCCCGTCAAGAGCAAGCCCCATTGGGGAGTAGAGGACGTAAGTACTCGCCTCGATCTGGTTGTCGAGCAGCAGCAGCGTCGAGTTCACCCCAAGATAAAACCCCTGGAAATAAATGGCGTGGTCCGCCGTCGCCAAGATCGCGCTGCCCGCCAGCAGCACCTGGGAGCCGGCACCGAGGTCACCCTCGAACTGCAGATGCCCCGAATCCAACAGCGCGGACGTCACGTTCACGTGCACGCGCTCACCGCTCGCCCGGATCGACAGGCCCATGAAGACACACTGCAGCAGCGTGATGTTCAGGGTTTGCTGCGGCGCATCGAAGCTCGACAGGTCCAACGCAATCGCGGCGGTGAAGGTCACGTTGACGAAGCACAGCCCACGCACCCCGGGACCGGGGTCGCCTACGGAGTTCATCGTACCACCGTACACGCAGAGCACCTCCGTGCCGTTCGCATCGGGGGGCGGGAGAGGCCCGAGGCCGGCCGGAACAGCCGCCGGCAGACACGCGTCGCCGTGGCCGCCCGCAGCGCACTCGCAGCGGCAGCCGCTGATGCCGCTCGCCTTCGCAGCGAAACACACTGCGTCCGTGACACACGCGCCGCAGTCCAACGCCGTCACGGGGGCGGTAATGGAGAGGTCAGATTCGTAGTCCGTCACGGCAGA